TTTTAGCTTTAAAAATAAGAACAATATCGATATTAATAATAAACGTGGGATTGTGATATTCTGATTGGGGAATCATATATAGTCCTGTTTGCCTAAGCAAAGGTCACAAAATCCATATTCACCATTTTGGATGCATGAATGAATGGCAGCTCACATCTGGCTACAATCTGATTTGGCCCGTCCGTATATCATATTCGATTACTTCTACAGTCCTCACCTTACCTTTTTCTATTTCTATGTGTTTATCTCTCTTACATATTTGAATAGTTCATCTGTTCTCCGCACCCCTTTTTGTAACTTTAAAGTTCCTCCCCTCTGTATGATAACTATCACAAAGCCTGCTTTTTGGTATAAAAAAAAATCTGCTTTAATTTAAATCAAAATACCACATTTGAAGCATAAAATCTGTTCAGATTTGAAAAGAGTTGTGAGAAGGTACTTACACTTCCTCGAAACCTTAATATAATCAAATCACACCGAATGGCTTCTAAGTAAACTACCTATTCTTACGCAATCAATTCGACAGAAAACTGGATTTCATAAACCACCTCTGAGTTTGCGGCCTATGCTTTTGAATTTTTAATTAGCATGAATCGGATTCTGTTGTATTTTTCAAAGTGCCCCTACACCCTCCCTATTCCTTGTTGTTAAACTTCAACATTTGCATGTTAATTGACAATTCTATATGTAAAGTTAACACAAAATCCTACTCGAGCCGCTGAATTTGTATAACCATTAGTCCCGGTTAAAGTCTGTACCCTATGGTACCCAATAGCATGATTATTTTATCGTTCCGAAGAAATCGTCTGCTTTGTTCCGGATGTTGAGGAACCATGATCATTGAAATTGTAAGCACATCTTTTGAGGCTTAACTGTATAATATGGCTTATTCAAATATTTACGTTCTGAATAAATGATGCATTGAGGATTCGTCAATATTTCATGCCAATGTAGGCATAAGAGGAATCACAAAGTGTACATCGTACGGATTTTTCACAAAAAGGATTCAAAAAACATAGAATTTACATCTGAATACCAAACGTAAGATTCCAACATTTATTCAAAAATGATTAAGGTCTCATTAAACAAACATTCTTCTAACAAGATTGGAGTAAAAGTCATCCGATTTGCCAATTACTTTTTCTGCAATGATGCCGGGACTTGTTGCTTCGAGATTAGACGTTGATTCAAGGAATGAGTTGATTTTTTCTATAACATGTGCTGGCAACAGGATGAATAAGGAATTAAAACTATTTTTTGCTTTCAGCTTCACTTTTTCTGCTTTTTCCATTGGTATTAAAGGAATCAATTTTCTAAATTTTGGGATCTTGGTTTCAATTGCGGTAATTTCATCATTTGAAAACAAAGATTTATTGCGACCTTTTGTTAATGACCCAGTAGCTGTGCCAGTGATTGTTGTTCTCGGATTGCACACCTCAAGCTGTTTCACCTTGAGAGTAATAACATTTCGGGCGTAACTTGGGAATTTATCCAAAAAATGGCAATGATTGAATGTCCGAGCAAAAATGGAAGTTATTTGTACAGCGGTGAACGTTGCAATTCTTTCTGTCAGGCCTGGATTGATAGCAAGCATTTTGTACAGCACTGGCTCATCCATGTAGGACAATAACCGAGCAGTATCCAAGTGCCTTGCAATAATATAGCGTGCAAATGAAGGGTGGACAAAGAAGAGTTGGTTTGCTGAGCAGTAGGCAATGTTAGGCATTGACGCTAAAATTTCTCGTTTCACTTCTGATGATATTCTCATGTCGTCATCATAACCTGGATAATGTGTATACAATGCGGACCAACTGTATCCGTACGACGCACCGTAATAATACCCACATCCGTATGGTTCACAATTTGTATCCTGAATACGAACGGCGTGCGGGTGTCTTCTCCAATGAAAATTTTGTCGACAAGGATCTTGGAATTCAGGTGGCAACGGTACAGGTTGAGATTCTGGTTGAGGGCAGTTGGGACAATTTTTTGGCCATACGTAAGGTTGCCGTGGACAGTTTGGGCATTCATTGTTCCAGCCCGGTGCACTAGATTGTGGAACCCACTGCTGTTACGGAAAACCAAATGAGCAATGAGTTTGGGAATCAAGTAAGGAATACTAAGTCCTCAACTTACATGAGAATTTGAATATTGACGATACTGTGAAGCAGATGTATATTGTCGCTGTGACCATTGTGAAAAATTGAATTTTAATCGACCATTTTGTTGACACATATAAAAGCAATGTGACGGAATTTTCTGCGCCGTACAATTGCATGTTAGAACACCATTAGAAGATTCTTTTATCACCAAAGCTGTAGAAAAGCCAAACAGTAAAACACAGAGGAACAAATTTTTGAAGGTCATTTTAGAGTGATAAAGACCTAACTTTTTTAACTTTATATATATTGAAAGTTTTGGAAGTTTTGAAACAAAATCACGTCAATGATAGGTTGACATTTGTTCACTGCTTTCATTGGATCGCACTTCAATGACCTAGCCAATGACTGATTACTGTCATTGTTAGACGTAAATCTGCTGTCATGAGACATACGAAGAGATATTTCTTAATAATTAAATTAAACAACCTCACAAAAAAAGATTTAAGCAGGCACGGGAAAACACGATTCAATTTAAAAACCAGGACCGGATAGTACTATGGACTTACGAGGTTAAATCCTCATTAGATATAAGGAGTCAAAATTGCCTGAATGTTAATAGAAATAAAATGATTTTAACTATGAAATTGAAAACGACCTTGATATTCAGACAAAATTAATAAGCCATTCCAAAATTTGTTAAAAAGTAAAAAAATCATTGATTTCAAAGATTAAAATGAGGGCGTTATAGAAAATATTTTTTGTTATAAGTAAGAGATTGACGAGTTTAAAAATGATTTTGGTACTGTTTCGAACCCCCGCCCCCTCACCCACCTCTACTGCCTTCATGTAACCTTAATAACTAACATGCACTTGGAAAGAAGACTGTCGATGGCAGATAGTTTCTGTCCACAAATTTCCCATCGCATATAATTCCTATTTACCTCACTCGTTTTAATACCTCAAAGCATTTGAAGCCCTTCTTTTTCTTCATGATTCGATGACTCCGAGAGCATGCACCTACTACTTCACTTCCATTCGCACATTTCAATTCTTCCCAATGACCAGAAATCCCAGAAATGCACTACTTAGTAGGGTCTATCCTCCCTCATCCACCTTCTCTCACTCATTTAGAACTGCGATTACGGTCGCATCTGCAATTAGTTCAGGAAGGAAATTCAAACGTTAATGTAGATGCGATTGTAGAGTAATTCATTTCTGTTAGAACATAGTCACCAAATGTCATTCTGGCCTTGAGACAGTTGCACCGACCGTGTTGAAGACAGACTTGATTCCCGTCTTATCTTTAGGCTCAAATTTTGCACTTTTCAGATATTATTGTCTGGTAGATTGAGAAAGCTGAAATCTGTCTTGAGTCAGTTTATGGAGTGGGTATTCGCACCTCTCTGTTCAATACTCTCTTTGGTTACTATGATCTCAGTTTTGCAACCTGGAAACCATTTCAATTTCCTACCTCACTACACCTCAATGGAGAGTGTTCACCAAAGATAATATCTATTTGGGTAGACCTACGCCAACACATTTGGACTGCTCCTTGTTTGATGATTGAACCAAAAAAGAGCAATGGGACCAATTTTAGCAAAATGTTTGCAACTCTGCATATTCACAATGATTTGTTAGGGATGGATCTTCAACACTTTTCACGTTTCTCTGCTCTTGCTTGAATTTTGAAGCTTGAGCCAAACCATTGAATGACAAAATGTAGAACCTTCAAGTCCTTTTCCTCCCTAACGAAATTCTCACTATTTGTCATAACGAAAGCGAGAAACATCCATGGCAGTTAATAACGCTTACGTGTCCCTTAAGATACACTAACCACATGCAATTATTTACAACCTCTCATGCATTTGAATTGACTCTTGTAGGATAATTTAGTGTAAGCAAAGTCAATTAACGTCACTTGATGACACATCTTGTCCGAATTGCAAAGGCTTCTCGTCTTCTCGGCTCTCAAAGCGAACATTGCTGAAGAGTGACAGTCTGTGGCCACCTTGATGTTTCGATCGTAATTTCGACAACATCGAGCTTATAACTGGTGGTGACAGTGGTGGTTGTGAGAGACCAGTCACATTGGTTAAAGGCGGTGAAGACAAGGTGGCAGAGTGCGATTTTCTCCAAGAGTCCCTCCTTAATAATGCTGACAAATCTGCGGAAAATGTTAAAAAACATGACTTTCTTTGCTGAAGATGATGCCTATCATCAGTTGTGCATTTGCCACGCCTAATAAAGGCACGTATCATGATATTTTGAATTCAGTGATCTGTTTCATTCATTGAGGACAGGCAATGTTTTCAGTTCACATAAGCAGGGAGGTTAAAAATAGTAGTTCACCTGGTTGTGGCATTTTGAGGTCAATGTCTTATTCAATTCAATGAAGCGCTTTTTCAATGCTTGAGATGTTCATATCAATTGGTCACTCGAACACACTGATGAGTTTCTCAAATCACCACTACTCTCTTCTAATAGATTAGTTGAGATTGGAGTTAATTAAACAATCATTGAATTCACTGAAGTTTCATCAAATTTCGCGCTTGAATGCTACAATGATTTTCAGAGTTGAACAGCTTTGCATCGAATAAATAATATCTGAACCTGCTGATGATAGCATAGTTAAGGCTAGGTCTATTCAAATTAGCACCAATAAAGACGTTCTGTGCATAAGCTTGCGATACTGGGTTGCAGGTTTTGTACACCCCATGCAATCCACGTACTTCGGGTCAAGTTGGAATTGGGGGGTGGGGAGAGTGCAAGGAGGATTCCGTTGACCTTAAGTCTTCTGATGAAATCCGGACACTACGATGCATTCTATTTGAATCTAAAATCATTAATTAGTTTTAGGTGACGAAATCAGACTGCGAAATTGCTCACTGTGAAGTCTGCGATGTGAACTTGCTTTAAAAAGTGGCGTCAAGTAGCCAATTTGCCGATGCTCTAAGAAGTACTGAACGCCATAGCAGATAGAACGCCAATGTATCAGAATGCCGTCCCTTACCCTAAACCCAGGGCTCTTATTAAGTACCTGGTTCAATATCCCCTGGCATGCTTTGAAGTAGCAACAGCTCACAACAACTGCATTCTAGCGTTGTTCACCAAGCAATTGCACATATACTGCACATACACTTGGCAATTTCGCAGAATTTGGCCAAAAATTGCAATGTATATCTGATTTGCTGATTTTTGCATACCACACAGCACAGTTTACATCCCAGTTAGAACCCACATATACTTTTCTATTTGATTGTGGTTAAGTTGTGATCCCAATTTAGTGACAACCCTGAGCAAAGCTGAATCTCCAGTCTGACTGAGTCTGCCGTAGAGCTATTGGCTATAAATGCAATTGGTAGAAGGTGCCAACGTGGTTTGGATCGTGTTGGTGAATAAGAAAGTGTATTGAAGAATTGTAGATATTTATGTGTTTATTTCAAATGGTAGGCGTTTTAATAGTTATCATTAGTCCCTTAGTTGACTTCGGGCCTCACAGAGGGAAGGAACATCAATGTGGTAAAAAGTGGAGAGGGGAGATAGAATAATGTCTCACAGATGAAAAGGAGACGGATAGGCGCAAAGGCTTAGAAAAGGTAAAATGAGTACTCTGCCGGCTAATAGACTTTTTTGGCGTATGATTATACGTTGTGCAGGGTGCACCACGTGGTGGTAAGTCCATCGCACACCCCAGAATTGTAGATGGGGATTGATGGGAAGATGAAATGTAAGTTTGGATCGTGTCAGGGAGACCCTCTGATTCTCACACCAAATCAATATTTCAGGTCATTTCCTTCAATATCGGCACCTTGGCTCCAAAGCCATTCAATTTCCATATAACTCACTTAGTTCAAATGCTTAATAGTCAAACAGTAGCAAATGCCTTTTAAAGTTGTTCACGAACTGACAGATCTTTCTCATTCAAATTAGCGCTTGCCAACATTGGGGCTGGCTATCAATACACAATCGTGTTTGGCCACTTTTAGGCCACTTTTTGCACTTTCAGAAAATAAATTCATTTCTCTGTTGAAGGCACAATATGAAGTGTTAGTTACCTGCTAGTAATCAGGGGTACAATTCTCCACCCCACCTTCAGATCTTAATTCCTAAATTTACCTGAATTGCGTGTTCACAATTATATGTCTTTATATTAGCAACACGATTGTCATTACGAAAGTGCCATATCAACTGCCAAACGGTTGAAAATCCATGTGGTCATTAATTGGCTCACACTAGTTGCATGACACTAGACTCGAAGTTTTAGTCCACTTCAGCATCCAATTGAGCTTCATTTTTGCCATTTACGCAAAGCACAAGTAGTCGGAGTGAAAGTAGGTATCCCGTGATCTGGGATTCAGTGGCCTGTTTCGAAAATTGAGGACAGAGGAAGCTGGCGGTTCACATAAGCAAGTCGGTTGAAAATCGCATTTCACCTGATTTTGACATTTTGAGGTCAATATCTCATTCCATTCACCTACACACTTTGTCAATATTTGAGATGGTCATATCAATTGGGCACGCGGAAACACAGATGAGTGACTCAACCCATCACTCTCAGAACTGGTGTTTATGCCATTCACATATATTCAAATGACTTGGCATCTGCGGTCATGTCGAGTTAAGGATAGAGGAGGTGGTGTCTAAATGATGGCCTCATGCAAATCTATGACTCGGTTAACACAATGATGAAGTTTGCCATTAGCATTAATGAAGTTAGAGTAGATTTCAAAGTGGGTTAATGCTTCCATCTGGTGCCCTGCGATTAGTGTGACACTCTGAGGCATGAATTCTCAATCGTGCAGTAGTTGATACGAAACTTTCGTTATGGAAATAGTGTTGCGTTGCTAAGAAAGTGCCTTAGGGAGCACGCGTTTCACTTCTTATTAGGAGATAATACCTGGCTCGACAATTCTACTCCTGATTACCCACCGGTGACCAACCCTTCACGCTCTACTCTTAATGAATAAATTAAGCTATTTTCTTAAATGCGTAAGGTCAGCCTGGGCCAATCCTTGCAAGCCCTTTTTTAAAAGAAAATGGTCTGTTTGTTAATGGAAATCTTATAAACGTATAGGCCACCGTATGGCTCGTACCTTATTTGGGCAGCCTACTTTTTATGAAAAAAACACGTTTAAATAGCCCTGAATTTAATGGGTCGTTATTGACGGATGGAGTTTATGTTGGCAACTTTCTCAAATGCATCAAGCTAGCGAAGGTGGACCTGGGAATGTATTGCATGTCAAACAAGTGGTCAGATGTGAGATGGTCCCTCCCACAAGTCTACCTTACATGCTGTGCATCACCCCTTCTACAGCTCTTCAAATCCCTAGTTCGAATCCCTCTCTTCTCCAACAAACCCTTCTGAAACCTGCTATAGTAAACTTTTCTGTTTTAAATTAGCCAAGTCAGAATCCTGTTCAAAGCAATTTATTATTTGTTTAGCTTAAAATAAATTCGTACACCGTTAATGAACCGGCAAATTCACGAATTCCATTAAGGAAAATGTCCGCAGCTTCCTGCCTGGTCATTTTTGCTGTTAATTGATTAAATAGTTTATTTGCCTTCTTGGCATCCTCGTCACTAATATTCTGAATCAATTTGAATAATGCAATTGCCTTTGGATTGTTGGATTGAAATTTTTCAAATGGCACAATCTCCAGCAACAGAGAAAAATTTGGAATCTTCTTGCGAATAATGCCTATGATTTCTTCATTAAATAATGGTTGAGGGGTGGTATGTATAGGGACCGCAGTCGTTTTTACGGGAATTGGCTCACAATATTGAAGCCAGTTGTTTTTGAATACCAATTGATCTCGAATAGATTTTGCGAGACTTTGGAAGAATTGGCACGGATATGGAACTTTTCCAAAAAAGTTGTACACTGTTTGCCCATCCGAGCCTGCAAGAATCTCAGGAAAGTTGGCTACATGCTCCGTGACCCATTTAAGGGTATCTGATGTCATTGCTTGTATAATTGCACCCGGATGCATGGCATTGTTCAATACATACTCCGCAAAGGTCCAGTCAAATGCGCTCAAGGTATTGACAACAATTGGATGCAAATCCGGCATGGTCTTAAATAGTAGCAATCGAATGCCTTCTGTGAAGGGACCGGGATCGGCTGGAAATGCCGGTGGAGGAATATTACCGTGTGGATCTTCAACTGAAGGAGCACGACTGGTAGTATCATTGATTCCAATTTCCGGCTGTGTTGGTGGGGGAGTTGTAACTATTCTGTAAGGGTTCTCAAATTTTCCGTCATTCGCCTCAGTTTGCTTTGGAGTTGCAGTTGAAGTTGCAGTTGTAGTTGTAGTTGTAGTTGTTGATTGTTTCTTTTGTTTCTTCTCTTCGCTCCAATTACCCTCATCATCAATCCGTCCATACCGATAATGTTCGATCATTTCCACAACCTTGGGGTATTGATTTTTCCGTTTTTTCATGCTCTTTATGAATATTCTATTGTGATAGACAAACCACAGAGTTTTAGGTTTTAGAAAGACGAACATCTTGTCGATACTTGCTGATTCCATCCACAGTCTGTTGATCATCCTTTTAGGCATGTGTATGTATGTCTCTTGGATAAATTTGAAGCCCATAATCTTCTTCAGCAGCGCATCGTCGCCAATTTTGTCATCCAATCCTTTTATTATTGTAGCTATGTTTTTAGCAATAGTTTTTAACGCTTCCTTGGAAAGCACCCTTCCATATTCATCAAGTTGGGCGTGTATAAATGCAAAAAGCAAGGTTAAAACAAAAAACTTCAAAAACCACTTCATGATTGTTTTCCTGTCGACAATGACCGTTCCTTTATACTCTTCGCATAAATTGGGGGCACCAGAAGCATAACCCCTATTGGCTATTTGAAGCAGTTATTCAACATCAATTGGTAAGTCTTAAAATTTGCTTCTGATTGGTAATTCAATATAAATTGTTTATCTCTCATTCTCATCTAAAAGATTTATTATTTCATGTCTACTAATACAAATATTGTTTAAATTATTTTTGGACTGCTGAAAATGGAAAATTTGATAGCATTGTATGAGTATCCTTAGGTGACATTAAAGCTAAAGTGGGAAATAACTTGTCTCTGATATTTCCATTTGTGTAGATAACACATTCATGAATAGCATAATCTTTAATTTAACCTGTTAAGAATTCTTAAGGATATAGCAAAGTTTTCGACTTCGCTATACTGTGCAATCTTTAATAGTCAATTTGAATAAAAATAAGTTGCCTGCTGGATATAAAGTCACAAAAATTTTGTCAATGAAATAGCTTAGAACTTAGATTTTGCCTTTGGCAAATACAACAAGCGAAATACTTTTTATTCTGCGACACAACTGACGAAAATTGTCCTCCTAAGAAATGAGGTGGAAAGTTTTACTAATTTAATAAAAGTAATAAAAATTTATTAAACTTTATGAATTAATGGCTGCAGAGAGCTGTGAATGACACTTTGCTATTAGAGGTTTCTGACGAATTTGTGCTTCCGAAATCAAATTGTGCTTCCTATAGCAAAATAGTTTATCGTGAGCTATAAAAACTAATGTGTCGAAGATGAAATCATCGCAACAAGGGCGTATATTGAGATGAAGATTTGAGGATGTTTGAATCTCGATTCCTATTTCGTTGTATTGAAATTTGTCTTTTCTCATTTCCTGTCTTCTTCTTTTTCTTCAAATTCTTACATCGAACTTTTCGTAACGTGGACTAAAAGCTCAATTTCAAGCCCTACCCACTCCATCTTATTCCCGTGCCACGTATATAATTACTTAAGTATTGCCAACTAAGCATCCAGAATGGATAGGAGTTATTTATTTATTTATTTGTTTATTTATATCAAACGGCAGGCGTTTTGACAGTTATCATTAGCCCCTTAGTTGACTTCAGGCTTCACAGAGGAGAAGGAACATCAAAGAGGAAAAAGTCGAGAGGGGGATTGAACAGAAGAGTGTTTCAAAGATGCTAAAGAGACAGACACAAAGGTAGAAAAAAGGTGAGGTGGGTACTGTGGTAGATGCCGAATATGACATACAGTGGGGTGATGATAGTTTGAAGTCAGAAGTCAACTGCCAGTTAATAGACTTTTTTGCCGTATGATTATACGAGGAGGTCAGCTATCGCACACCCCGAATGGATAGGAGTTAACGTCTTTAATGACGTGGTGTTACGGGTAACATTGTTTTGACTTCCACCTCCTTCAGGTAGCCTATTTCCATTGCCTATCAAAGTGTAAACATGAAATATTTTGTGTTCTCTCTCTGAGCAACGTCAAGGCCTTCTGCTAATCAAATTGGTCAGCCTTGAACCCCCGTTTACTCCATCTTTTCACTTCTTGTAGCATCAAGGCATCAATTCGTTTTCGTGTCGGTCACGATGACACTAAGAAGAAATCGGCTCCAAATTCGCAGTTCTTATAATTTCCACGGGTAGATGTCTACTTCCATACTAGTGCTCCAAACTCACAACTACTTTGGGAATGAAAGAGAATGGTTATAGGCTTCGAAGCAAAGAACTACATTTCACTTGTCGAATGATGCTTGAAAAGGAACTTTCTATTCAAACGATATTCTAGCAAGCGGATCCCACCACGTGGCTGGAAAGCCTCGCTGATCAATTCTGATGCAAACTACTTCAGGCGTATTTGCAATAATCACTGATGCCTTTTACTAATGCATTTGACATACAAAAGTGTTCATGTAGGCTAACGTGGTTTAGAGGGCAAAAATTGGACTCTGAATAAAACCCGAAATGGTGGCAATTGTTCTAAATGGAGTATGCATGCATCTGCAAAGCTGGCCCAAAACAATAGGGTGCAAATGGAGCTGGCTGAAATTAAGTCACTTGAAATTGATTGCTCCAGTTTTACTGCTTTAACATAAGCAGAAATGACCCAAGAGGAATGATAACATAAATATTGACGTCACTGGTAGAATGAAATAAATGGTAAGGCAAAGGTAAAAGCTACATCACTTTATGCTTATACTTTCATTCATTTTCCAATTCCTCTATTGGTTAATAAATCTAGGAAACAGAGAATTGAAATGGCCTTCACAATGGTCCCTTTCGCAGGTTGATCGCATTATCCTGAATTAATTAATTCTTTTTATTCAGATTGAATGCACAGTGGCTGATCACTGGTTTATATTATGAATGCCTATTTAGATGGTTTTAGCTTTATTTATGTCATAATCATCAGGTTGAGAGGTTATTTATTCGTTGTAAAGCCGTTCCATCCTGAAATTTATTGCACCATCCAAAAATGAAATCTGCTAGACCCACAGTGCAATGGAATAATTGACCTCAATCTCAACTTATCTATTAGTACTAAGATCACTGTGTATCAGATCGAAAATTGCTTCGAGACGTCAGATGGTTTAGGGGTAGTGAAATGGTCGATAATGCACCTCAGAACTACTTCACAACTGAAAATCATTTAATATTTACACATCTGGGGTGTGCGATAGACTTACCTCCTCAGGGTGTACCTTGAGCAACGTATACTCATACGGTAAAAAGTCTATTACCTGCCAGTTGACTTCTGACTTCAAGCTACCATCACCCCACTGTATGTCATATTCGGCATCTACCACAGTACTCACCTCACCTTTTTTCTACCTTCGTCTTTGAAACACTCTTCTGTCCTCCCCCCTTCTGGACTTATTTTCACTTTGATGTTCCTTCCCATCTGTGAAGCCTGAAGTCAAATAAAGGGCTAATGATAACCTCATTTGATATGAATAAATAAATATTTATACATCTTATGAATATCGAAGCAAATTTTGAAGCAAATTGTATTGTTATTTTCTACCTTTTCAATGAGTACTAATATTAATAACTCGTCTATTGGTGCCAGTAATTGGTACCTTCAAGGCGACCATTATCCCTCAGTACGATTATGATCTAATTCCCTTTTGTCTAAATATGTTGCTATTTGAAATCTTATTGATTCATATTATTGGTTAGAACGTCAGTATCATAACGCCCTCTACAATTTATGTCTCACTTTTCAAAAATTGTCTCTTTGAATAACCTTTGAGAAAACTTGCTCTCGTCGACGCATTCGAAAATACTCTTACAACTCCGGTATCCCAAGACCTTCAATCGAAATACTGATTGCAGGTCCTGTTTCGGGAGTGAATATTTTGTTTAGCAAAACTTTCTACTTGAGTTAAATAACCAATAAACTCAATTCAAACAGTCGATTTTTTGTTGTAATTACTTCGGTTCAGATCCTTTGTTCACTATAGTTCAATCGATACGTTAATGCCATCCCGACTTGATAAATGTATCATAACATCATGATAATAAAATCAAGTTTTGGTTAACTTAAAGCCCAGGTGCGTGATATAGTTACCTCCACGTGGTGCACACTGGACAATGATACCCATACGGCTAAAATGTCTGTAAACCGGCAGTTGACTATAAAGTACCATGATGAGAATGTATGTCATATTCCTCCACTTCCACAGTATTCACCTTAACTTTCTTCTAAATTTGTGTCTGTCTCTTTTCATCAATGAATCACTCATCTCTTATCACCTTCTTGACTTTTGGCTAATGATAAGTACCATAAAGCCCGCCATTTGAAATAAATAAATGATAGGCATCATTAGCCCTTTAGCTGGCTTCGGGCTTCACAGAGGGGAGGAACATTCAAGTCACAAAAGTGGAGAGGGAGAAACAGAAGATTGATTTACAGATGTAAAGGAGACAGACAGACACAAAGGCAGAGAAAAGGTAAAATGAGTACTGTGGAAGTGGTCGAATATGAAATACAATGGAGTCATGGTAGATTAAAGTCAGAAGTTAACTGCCAGTCTATAGACGTTTTTGACGTATGAGAATACGTTGCCCAGGCTCTACCACGTGGAAGTAAGTCTATCGCACAGCCTATGATGCCTATCATAAAGTCTGTCATTTAGTGTAAATTATCTTAAAACCTTCGCATTCACACAGAACTCATCATTTTACGTTAATTAGTCTTTCCCCTCTGTGAAGCCTGAAGACAACTAAAGGGCTAATGATAAATATCATAAAGACTGCCATTTGATATAAAAAATGTTAATTTGTCCTCCAGTCGATCAGAGACAAGATAAACAAGATCTCCTTGACTGTGACCTGAATTAAGGTATTTATCGAACCACGCGGCCCTGTCGATCTGACTTGGCACCAATTATGATTCATCATAATAATTTCCAACCAAATTAAATACACTTGTTTGATAAAATTACCAATTTTCTATGTGGACTGGAAAGAAAGGCACTTGATCGCCTATTTGAGATTCACTGTCCTAATCATTTCATGGACGCATGGTTATTGCATTTCTATAGGAAAATACTTTTCGCATATTTCATTATCTAACTCTATTCTTCATTTTAGAAGAGCTTTCAAACGGCAG